GCCCCTATCTTGCTTCTGACTTGCCCCCTGGTCCCTGATTCCCCCGGGGCTTTTGATGGCCCCGCTAAGCAGTAGTTTCTCCCTCTCGTCCCTCATTTACTCCCTGTTGGACTTCAGGTGCCCCCAGCCCCTGATTATCCCCCACACCCCAGTACTTTTTTGATTTGCCCCTAGGGTTTGTAATTTCCCCCACAGGCAACCTGGACAGCGAGGAAGGAGCAGCGGAGCGCGTGGTGGAGGATGTCTTCATCCGTTGCTTCCTCTATGGCACCTTCGTAGGCATCATGGCTCAGGAGCCAGTGCTGAAGCGCCGTGCCAACGTGCTGATTGTCTGCCTGGTGCTGTTGCAGAACATGACGCCCTCCAAGATATACTTCCTGGCCTCCTACACAGAGACACTCTTGTCTCACTTCTACAAGTGCCCCGTCAAGCTGGAGCTCCAGACCGTGCCCGGCGCGCTGGTCTACAAGTATCTGTAGGTGGCCGCGCAGCCCCATGGGGTGGGTGCCACCATTGACCCATGTGATCCCGCGTGGTGCCACCAGGGGGCACCATGGATCCATGTGATTCCCCCCCCTTGTGACAACATGGACCTATGTGATCCTGTAGTGCCACTAGGGTGTTCTGTCAGCCTGTGTTGCCCCTCACTCCTGACATGCTGGTACTCCTCTGTGTACTACTCTGCGATCCCTTCTGGCACCACCAGGGGGCGCTGGTTGCCACCCAGATGCCCCTCCCACTTCCTCACCCCCACCGGCACTGTTGTCCCCCAAGCTGGGGCAGGGCCAGATGTACCAGGGTAATAAAAGGACTGAGCTGGCAAGGTGTATGCCCTGGTGTGGTGGTGCTGGTTTGGTGCCAGGCTGGGCTGGAAAGGGCAAGGGGTTGGGGTGTGTAATGTACCCTGGTGTAGGTCAGGTGCGCACCCTCCCAGTGTGTCCCTGTCTTGTGTGGGGGCTGGGGAGATGCCCCTGTGGTGGGCAGCTGACATCTCAGGGTCCAGCTGGGCCCCCCCAGGATCCATGTAGGTGCCCCATGTGGGCACATGAGTGTGTGGGCCGGGATGCCTGGGTTCTTTCCTCAGCTCTGGGAGGGGACAGGTTGGGGGGCTGAAGCAGTGGAGCTGGAGGCCTAGATGCTTGGGTTCTTTCCTGCTTTGTGGAGGGGAGTGGGATCTGGGGGATTAGAGCTAAGAGCCTGGACGCCTGGGTTCTCTCCAGCTCTGGAAGCAAAAAGGACTCAAGGGACTAGTGCAGAGCCCCGGCGCCTGAGTTCTCTTCCCAGTGGTATGAGAAGGTGGACTTTTGCCTGTGGGTGTTGGCTGGGGGGAAGCTGCGCTTGGCCCCTGTGTGATGGGTGAGGCCTGGCACAGCCTGTCACAAACAGCCTTATGGCCCCCTGTCCCCACCCACTGGGGCAGCCGTGGCTGGGAAACTGAGTCACGGAGGTACTGAGTAAGGGAACATCTAGGCTTCGTTGCTCAGGGCAGAGCCCCCCTTCTCAGTGTTGGGGTGGGGTGGGGGTCTTGGCTTCCCCTTGGAGCACCCTATCTGGCATGATGTTGTGTGTGGGTGGGTGCTGGTGCCAGCCAGGTGCTAATGAATGCAGTGCAGGGCCAGGCCAGGTATCACAGGCGCCTCCTGCGCCTGGGGTAGATACATCCTGGGGAGGGGCTGGGGGGGTAGATCAGGTGAGGCCTGGGGGCAGGGATCTTGGGTAGTTTGGGCCTTGGGGGTGTGTCTGGGGTAATAAATCTACCCTGGGTGGGTAGGGGCAGCCCCTGGCCTAGGAAATGCCCCCAGGCCTGGCTGACAGGCCAGGGGAACTGCAGCTGGCACTGAGATGTGACCACTTCTGGCCTGAGGCCTGGCTGGGCATGGTGCCCCTGTTGACCTGCCTCACCCTGTGCTATCTTCCCTCCCCACCCTTCACTGGGGTCTAGCTGTGTGTCAGAGAACCCAAGCATCTGGGGCATGATCCCTTACTCTGACCACTGAACCGTGCTTCCTGGCAGGTGGTATCGGCACTGGTGCTCCCAGGCCACGGGGGCAGTGAGTACTGTGGGGAGGCACTGGCGGGAATGACGCAAGTACCACAGGGGCACATAGGCTTAGCTTTTGGGGGGGGAGTGGGGGCTGGGTCATGTGTGTGTGCACGTGCGTGGTGGCGCTGGCTGCGTGCTTGGCGTTTGCATTCCATGTGTGTGTCTGTCCGCTCTCCAGCACCCCCAGTCCCTGCAGTGACCTAGTCACAGCTCCTGGCTGGCCCCTGCCAAGGCAGCCACAGGATGTTGCCCCTGCCAGTCCCTGGGAGTGGGCACAGGAGCAACTGCAAGCAGCTCGAAGGCTGTAATTGGTGGTGGCTTACCCGAATGCCTGAGTTCTGTCTTGGTTCTGGGCTGGGGGCTTAGAGCCAGGGGTCTGGCAGGCCAGACCCTTGGGTCCTTGCCCCAGGTCTTGCAGGGGGCGGAGAGTTTGCAGGGGAGGATTAGATCCCAGAGGTTCCTCCCTGCAGCCATGTTCACCCTGAAGCTTAACAATGGCCACGGCTGCAAGTCCTATTGAACTCTAGGTCTGGGGGGTGCTCAGGGAGGCTGAGTGGTCTGGTGGCCAATGTGAGGCAGGTCCTGGGTTCAGCACCACCCCCAGGGTCCTACCTACCTGTGGGCATCTGAGTCAGTCACAGGATCTCTAAAGACCGGAATAAACCTGTCCAGGGGCCGAGCCCTCTCCGTCCTGCGTCACAAGCTCCCTGCCAGCAGGGACAAGGGTCAAGGAACAGGAAGGGTAGAAAACCCAGTGACCCACCCCAGCATCCTGCTGATGCTGGGAGGTGGCCAGGTCCAAGGCTTTGGTGCCAGGGAGATCTGGCCTCCAACCCAGGCAGGGCATGAGCTTGTGGCAATGACCATTGTTAGGTTCCAGAGTGAACGACGCAGTTCTCAGACTGCCTGGTCGCTGGGGTGGCAGGACCCTCTTTGGATCCCATGCGCCGAGGCTATGACAACCTGGCTTCTACCCCGGGCGGGGAATTGGCATCGTTCGGCTCTAGAATGAACGCGTCTGTTAGGGGGGAGGGGAGGGTGCGTGTGCGGCGCCCCCTGCGCATGCGCAGCAGCTATTCCGGGGAGGGAGAGGGGCGTACCTCCCTCCGAGAGACGTAGCCAATGACTGCGCAGCTGGCCTGCGCCGGCTGCGTGCGCGTCACGTGGTCCGGGGCGGGCATATAAGGCGCCACAAAGCCGCCGCGCCGATACTTCGGGGCGACGGAGTGAAGTAGGAGCTGCTTCTTTCCTCCCTCATCTCTGCCGCTGCGCGCCGGGACCTCGCGATTGGTGAGCGCCAGTGGTCGCCGGGCACCAAGGGGGCACCCCAGGCCTCGCCTCGCCCAGGCAGCTCGGAAGGCTCCGGGACCTTGGGGGCTGATCACGTGCGCATGCGCAGGGATGGGGGGGAGTGGGGCGGCTTTCCCACGGCGTATGCGTAATAGGGAGGGGGGACACCGGCTGTTTCTGCGCATGCTCCCTGCTTCTCTTCTCTCCGAACTTCCCGCGCGCGCGACGGCTCGCTATTGGGCAGGGACTTTACGCCACGCCTTTCGTCTCCCCCTCCCTTTTGTTTCTCTGGGGCGCCTGCGCAGTACGAGCTCGGAGCGCACGCGGGACCCACGTGGGCCGGGCGCGCGCGGGGAAACGCCGTTTCCGCTTGGGCGGGAAGGTCACGGGGTGGGGGCGGTTTGATTTGGGGGCGGCCGTTGGCTGCGCGGGCTGTTCTGGGGGGAGGGGCAGCCTGAGGGCTCGGGGGGGCCAAGTGTGGACAAGGGGGTTGTGGGGAAAGTCCCAGCGAGGCTGGGGGGTCTGTGGGGGGCATCCTGGGGGGGTCCCTGATGGGCTCTGGGTGAGGGCTGGGTAGGCTATGTGGTGGGAGGGAGGGTATTTGGAAAGAATGTAGGGCCTTTTGGGGTTCCTGGTGTGTGGGGGCTCCCTGCCTCCGGTTTCCTGGGCATGTGTGCTGCAGGGGGGAAGGTAACACTAGCATTTTGGGGCTCCTTGAGTGGCTGCTGGAGAAGGTTTTTGAGGTCCCCTGGGGTCACCACAATGCGGGGGTGGGGTGGTGGGGGTCTCTGGGGCTCTCTTGTATCCCATGAGGCTATTTAAAGGGATATGGGGAGGCTCTGTGCCCTCTGGGGAGTCTGCTGGGTGTCACTGCAGGGTTGGGCCCCCCTGCCTTCCCATGAGGTTGGTTTTTAGGGGGTTCCATCCATTTCATAGCTGGGAAGGGAGTGTGTGCCCTATATCGGTGCCCTGGCCTTTTAGGGCACCCCGGGGTGTCATGATGTGCGTCTCTGCGGGAGTCCTGGTATTTTAGTGCGCCCCTTTGCATATCAGCAGAACATGATTGGGTACTGTGATTTATAGGGCAGAGCTGGCATTTCAGGGGCACTCCCAGACTGCCCGGTCATGGGTGCTGGATGTGTCTCCTCAAGGGCCTGGGGGGAGGGGGGTGCCAAGCTGCTGTGTGCCATCTGTGGGGCACCCCTGTCACTTGAGCAGTTCTGAACCCCACTGTTTAGGGGTGGGGGGGGGGGAAAGGTGCTTTGTGGGTCAGCTCTGGAGCTATGACAGGATATACATGATGTGAAGGCCTTCAGGGTCCCTGTGAGGTCTCTGGGCATCAGTGGTGCTTGTGGAAGGGGTGATATGAAGCTTGCCTGTCTCTTGCCTTTATTTACCCAGCAGGTTTGATGGTGGTGTTCATGGATGTGCTTTGGGGCTGGGTTGATTGGCATTTGGGGGGGCTGTGCATGTTACTAGGCTGTGCTGGAGTGTAACTGGGTGGTCACAGTTCCCTGGGCCCAGCCCCTTGCCCTTTAAGGAGGTCACTGGTTTATGGGGTACAGGGTCTCTTTTGCTTCACATCCTGATGATGGGGGGCACTGGGCTCATTTGATTTCCCCAATCCCCTGGCAAAGCCATGCAGCTGTGCACAACCCCCACGACAGTGTCTGTGTTCCTTTTGCCTTTCAGGGGACCTTGGGCAACCAGGGAGAAAGCAAGGATTCATTTTTGAGGGGGGGGTGAATGGCTGAGGAGGGAGTGCTGGATGGACTCGGTATCATCCCACAGACCACCCCCTGCCCTGCTGGGGGGGAATTGTTGGTGCCTTCCTCCCTGCCCTCTATGAGCTAGCAGCTCCCTGCTCCCTCCTCCCTTCCTCCTTCACTGGGGAGATGCTTTTTGACTGTGTTTGAGGAAGTTTCAGCACTTCTTAGACCCTGTTGCTGAGATCAAAGGGCTCAGCCCTTGTACAGCTGGTAACGGGTGCTTGTGGCAGTAGGGGGTGGGTATAGCCTTGTATGCAGTGCCCTGTGAGAGCGAGGGGTTTCAGGAGAGGTGACTAAGAAACCGCATGATCTATCTGGCTTTTTATTGCTCATGGCTTTTTATTGCTCGTGGCTTTTCCTGCTGGGGTGTGTCCATGTTGTTCTGTCTGCAGCCCAACCAGAGAGTGGAGGCTGGGGCAGGCAGTGGCCAGGCTAGGCACTGCCAGGGGCAGTTGCCAGTCAGCCCATGATGAGCTGAGCTTCTGTGGCTTCCTATCGCCTTTAAGGGAACATGACTATTAGAGCTCTCCCTTTGGTTAAAAGCCTGGCACGGCCTGGGCACGCTCCAGATCCAGCCAGTTGTGTGGCAGTGGAGAGAGCTCTCTGCACATAACAGGGCTGTGAAATGCAGCTCCTTGCTTTTCCCCTGTAGCAGCTATTGACTTCCCCAGCTCCACGGATCTTTGCCTAGCAGGCAGACAGAGCTTTCTGCCCAGAGGTTGAGGCTGCTGCTGCCTTCCATAGTATCTGCCACCAGTATGGGAGTGGGAGAAGGTGAAAAAGATGCCCTCTACAACCACAAGTCTGCTTTCCTGGCCTCTTCTGGCTAGCTGACAACACAATGGACTCCAGGGCAGGAAACCAGGGTGGCTGAGCTGGGTCTTAGTCTAATATAGCACTGATGGGTCTTTCCTGGGGCGGTGATCAGAGGGGATTCAGTCTGCTTCTAGTCCGGGTCTGGTTTCTTTCCCTCCAGGAGACCTTGGTCTCAGCTGTGAGGTCTCCCATCTCATCACAGGCGTGGTGAGTTGCTCTGTTCACGTGGGCTTTGGCAGCCTTGGCCTTGTTGATCCTCTTATCAACCACGCCCTGACCAACCAGTGGTTTTATGGACTGGCTCCAAAACGTCGTCTTCCCGATAGCGGCTTCAGCTAGCAAGGCTGTTACTGGGAGGCAGGGGGGAGGGATCTAGTGTCTTCAGCTGCCTCTAGGAATGTAGTCAAGTGGGCTTGAGACTAATGGAGCTGCTGGTACCCATGAGCTCCCTAGCAAGTGGCCAGCTTGAGCTGCTAAGGATGGAGGAACCCATTTTGAAACGGATTTGGCTTTGCTGACTCTCTGGAAGTCTTCGTTGTTGTCCAGTCAAACCCTCGTGGTCTTCCACAGACACTTAGTGTTTCTTCTCTCCTTCCAGGATGAAGAAGCCTTTACCATCTTCTGCATCATGGAATTTCCCTCGTTTGTAACTTGCTGGAGCCAAAGGAACTGTAGAAAAGAGATCCCCAGCCCTATTGTATAGCAGTAACTGCCTGGTCCTAGACACCTCTTAGTTTACAGTTTAATTTAATTTTTTAGCATTATTTATTACAGTATTTTTGCATACCTCATATTCCGTTTACGTGTCCGAGTCTCCTATTTCCCTTTTAATTGGAAACCACCGGTGTCATCAGCATGGAGTTCACCACTGAATCTACCACGGCTCTCCTGACATCAGTAATTCCTGCGACCAGCACGGAGACCTCTGCCCCCTTGGTAGCCTTCCTCTGGTTGCTGATTCTGGGCTTCATCATTGCCTTTGTCCTGGCCTTCTCAGTGGGTGCCAATGATGTGGCCAACTCCTTCGGCACGGCCGTGGGCTCAGGTGTGGTGACGCTGCGGCAGGCTTGCATCCTGGCTAGCATCTTTGAGACTGTGGGCTCTGTGCTGCTGGGTGCCAAGGTGAGTGAGACCATCCGGAAGGGGCTGATTGACGTGGAGATGTACAACACGACCCAGGAGCTGCTCATGGCCGGTTCCATCAGCGCCATGTTCGGTGAGTCGCTGGGAGGGGAAGTGAGAAGGGGTTGGTGCGGGGATATCTCCTGGTGTGCCTTACCAGGCCTGTTGCTCTTAGGCTCAGCTGTGTGGCAGTTACTGGCTTCGTTCTTGAAGCTTCCCATTTCCGGTACGCATTGCATTGTTGGAGCAACCATCGGCTTTTCCCTAGTGGCCAAAGGGCAGGAAGGTGTCAAGTGGTCCGAGCTACTTAAAATTGGTAAGTTAAAGCACAGCCAGTCACCTGTCTGAGACAACCCTGAGTCTGCAGCTGTGGCTTTAATACTAGGGTGTTTATCCTGCCTTTCTCTCCTAGTGTTATCCTGGTTCATCTCACCCCTCCTGTCTGGAATCATGTCAGCTGCCCTGTTCTTCCTCGTCCGCACATTCATCCTTTGCAAGGTAAGGAGTGCAATTGCTGCTGTTGCTGCATTGTGATGTGAAGCTGTGAGCACAGATGATGATGGGGGTAACAGTAGCATAAGAGTGATGTTGCAGGTGTGGTGTGACTGAGCACATGATGGTGGGTGTAATTATGGCAGAAGGGTGACACAGTAGCCATGACATGATGGTGTCATGAGCACAGCTGACAGAGGATGTAGTGGTAGGCTAAGAGTGATGTTGTGACTGTTGTGATGTGAAGCCATGAGTGCAGTTAATGGCAGGTGTAACAGTGACAGTGTAGCCATGTTGTGTCATGAAGCCAGGAGCACAGATAACAGTGGGTGTAATGGTAGTGAGAACAGTGCTGCTGTAGCCATGATGGTCCAGGTACTAGACAAGAGGGGTGGATATCTTAAGGTGAGATCTCCTTATGCAGTAGGGACAAAGACGAGCTTCGAATGCAGGACATCTTTCCTCAGTGGGCGGAATCTCATCTTCTCTGGGTGATTCTCAGTGGCTGAGAGTGGTCCCTCAAAGGACTAAATGGGCTGAAGACCCTCACAGCCCCCTCTGCAGGCTTGTCTCTGTATCTAAGCACTTGAGTCTGAAGTGTGTTGGTTAACATGCTGTGGAAAGTTTGAAACCATTAAATGGAGCTGGCTTTATGCTGTGGGGTTGCCAGGCAGGGTTAGCTGAGGAAAGTAAATGGACCCTTTCCCTTTCTTCTCTTGCTGATGAGGGCTGTCAGCAGCTCAGAGCCCTATCCACTGTACCCATAGCTCTCCCAGCCTGACAAAGGCAGGAAGCAATCTCTTCCCTCGCTCTTGGCACTCCTTGGTGCAGCTTGTCGAGATGCCAACAAAAGCGAGTTGCAACTTGAATGACCTGCTGTGGCATCTGAGAACCTGGTGTGGCTGTACTGCTGAGCTGGCAGCCTCACAGTGTGTTGATCCATTCTGCTGGAGGTCTGTTGGCTTTTGCGGCAGCCGATTCTCTGGAGTAACTACTTCACAAGAACATACCTGTGATGAAGGGCTTATCATGCTGCAGTGGAGGCAGTGTTTGAGGTGGCCATCTAGCTGCTGAAGGCAAATCTGCTGACATTTAAACACATGCTTAGTAGGCAGTGAAGACTGAATAATAGGACAGAGCAAAGATACTTCTTGAGGCACAAGGGCCTGGCTAATAGGAATGCTAAGGAGTGAGAAGCCCAAGTATACAAGGTTACTGACAACTTACTAAGTTATATCAGGCTGCTGGAGGTCAGGGAGGAAGCGTGACATAACACCTGCATTTCTTTGCGAGAAGAAACCAAGTCAAGTCCAAGATGTGGAACTGTATCTTGAACTATTCAGTAACGTTCTCCAAGAAGGCAAAATAAGAAAGCTCATCCCATGGTTCCCCAGTTTTTGGCTCATAACCACACAAGCTCGGTCATAAGAACTTCCACTTACTGTGTCAAACCACAGGTCCATCTTTTCCAGTCTCCTGCGTCACATGGCAGCAAAAAGCAGATGCTGGAAGGGAGAGTGAGTTGGGTCTGAGCGGGGTCCGTCCATCCATGTGTTGTGTGTTCTCCCCCCCAGCCCTTGAAGAGACCATCAAAAATAAATCCCTATTGACTTTCTCGTCACCATTTAGTATTTTGGAAACCTTCTTATGTCTCCCTCCAAGCATCTCGCTTCTAAATTGGCCTCATTAGTCTCTCAGGAATAACACAAGGAATTGTTTGGGTACAGTCAATAGCATTCTGCTGGTGAACTCAGTGTAGACTAGCACTTGATGTTCTACAGGGCTTGTGTCGTAGAGGGGATGTACAGAACAGTTCCACATTCTTGTTCCCCCATTGATTCCCCGATCTCCTGACTCTCAGCCTTTGCTGAGACTGTGCTGCTTTTGGCCATATGGGGCCAAACACCTGCAGCTAACACACACCATGGCTTAACAGGTTCTTGGTTGTAGCACTCCCACGCTGGGGAACCTGCTAAAATCACTCTGCTGGAATGCATGCAAAGAGGAGTATAGATCTAATCGGGTTGGACTGAACAACCAGCACTCAATTCTCTGCTGCTGTGTGGTAACCAGCCTTGGTTCATCTTCGCCAGTGTGCTCTGGGTTCGATGACTGTTTAACTGCCCAGTGCAGGACAGATCAGGCAGGGATATATATATATAGCCCAGTATCTAAGGGACTGCCATTAAAAAGGCAGGCAATGCTAGGGATTATTAAGAAGAGAATTGTAAACACAATAAGACGTATTGTGAATCCTCTTGATAATCCATAGTGTCTCCACACCTTGAATCCTGTTTAGTTTAGAAGAGAGATGCTTGGGGCAGGGATGGGACAGGATCGGGGTTTCCAAAACATTGAATAGTCTGAGATTCGGCTCCAGATCTTGGATCTGACTTGCTTTCTTCTTTCAAAGAAAAGCAGGCACATTGTCATGCATCCTTTAACACCTTTAGTCTCCTGATATAACTTGGAGAGCTGTCAGCAATCCTGTGTACCTGGCCTCTCGTTTCTTAGCGCTTACCGTTAGTCAGGCCTTTGTGTCTCAGAAAGCATGTTTGCTCTGTCTTATTATTCAGTCTTCACAGAGCACTAAACGTGTTTAAATGTCACTGCCTTTTCCAGCTGGATGGTCACTTAAAAGTGTTGCCATTTGGATGTGATATGTCCTTTGTCCCCAGGTAAATGGCAAGCAATCCATCTGTACAGGTAACCCGGCTGCCTTAGTTGCCTGGGCTTCCCTGAGAAGGGAGGCAGAGCTTCCTAAAGGAGCCGAACATCCATTGAGCATGGCTTGAATAAACAGTTGGCAACAGGATGGGTTTCAAAGCAGGTCCCTTGTGCTAGGCAGGCTGTTGCATGCCCACAAAACAAATTTGTGGAAGTTTGTGGAAGCCACCTTGGACATGGTATAGGCAACTTTGGGATGAGCCATTATCCCACAGCTGTTTGAAGAAACTTGTTGGAAGGTACAGAGCAACCCAACAAGGAGAGAGGAGCTCTGTAACGCTGTCTTCGGCATCAGGTGAGGTTTAGACGCAAGGGAAAAAGATGTGTCCAGTGACCCTCCCTAGAAACCCAGCACAGCCCTGAGTGGATGCTGGCTCTTACTGAAGGTGATAGCTGAGGAATGACACTTATTACATCTAATGGACTGTCCTCAGAGCTGGGCTGGGTTCAGCTGTCACAGCGGGGGCCATCAGATAACTGGCTGCAACATCTCAGATGCTCATCTCCGTCTCCGCAGGGAGTGAAATCGCGCCCTTTATTTTTGGCCTGACAAGTCAGCCAGTGTGACTCGCCTCACCCAAACCACAGCAAGCTGTCACTTAGTCACTCCAAGCATCTGGCTGGTTCCACAGCAGCCAGACTGTTTATTTTTTTTCTAGAGCTCGGCAGGGGGAAGGGAAGTCTGGGTATACCAGTAGCAACACTGTCACTTTTCTTTTGCAGACAGATCCAGTTCCCAATGGCTTGCGTGCTCTTCCTGTCTTCTATGCCTGCACTATTGGCATCAATCTCTTCTCCATCATGTACACAGGGGCACCTCGTAAGTCAATCATGTTTTCCCCTTGAGCGTGATTTTTATTTCCCCTGTTCTTTGCGAAATCACCATTAAACGCACGATTTACCCCTCTTTTGCTTTACAGGGCCGAAGTCCTAGAAGGCGGCTGGCCTCGGCCAGTTACAGAAGGCTGCAGGCTAGCAGGGGCTGAGTTGTAACCTAGCTAGTTGCCCCACCAAAGAGGCGTGTCCTTACTCTAAATCCCTCCAGACCTTTCTCCTTAGTCTTCACAGGATAACATGAGTCCCCCCTCCCCTCTCTCCTCCACTCTGCTGAGACTCGGGATCCTGGCTGTCTTGAAGACCTCCCCTGACCTTTTCCCATTCTGTGAATCAGGCTTGGCATGGCAGGGCCAGATTCTGGTAGCATGGAGCGGCTCAGCTGTGGCCTGTTTCTAAGACTAGATTCATTACCCCAGAGCCTTCCTGAGCACAAAGAGCTAGCATGTCCCTGCTGGTACTGCGAAGAGGAACTCCAGGCTTCGGGGTTGGAAACCTCTGGGGAGCTCCCAGTTGACGTGTACGCATTAATTTGTGTACAAGGCAGGCGGGAAGGAGGGGATAGACGTGGCCCTTCGTAGTTGGTGTTGGAGAGAAGCCCTGCGGATGTCAGCAGGAGCCTGCAGGAACAGTGCTGTCTACTGCAGCACGGTTGCTCTCTTTGACATTGCAGCAAGCTCAGGACATCAGCCAGTACATAGGCTATGTCAACGGGGAGGAGAGAAGCTAGCATTCGTACAATTCCTAGCTGCTAGGTCAGAGGGCCCAAATCCTTGCAATAATCTGTCTCCTAGCACATGGAAAGAATTAGCCTGTGATGGGCAGTGATTATAGCCTAGCACAGCTTCTATGCAGTGCTGGACTCGCACTGCAGGAGAGTCACCGCTGGATACCGCCCCCCCTTCACCCCCTGCCATTTCCCTCTTCAATATTAGCACCTGATTTCTCCTGTCTGCCAGTAATGTAGCTGCACTGGTGCCACAGGCACCCCAGAAAGGCAGCTGCCAAGCTGTTGGCGATATGGAAGGACGGGGCCTGTCGCCCTGGGGTTTTCAAGATCCCTTGTTTTATTTCCTAGTGCTGGGCTTTGACAAACTTCCTCTCTGGGGTATCATCCTAATTTCGGCGGGGAGTGCTGTTGTCTGTGCTCTCGTCGTCTGGTTCTTTGTATGTCCGCGAATGAAGAAGAAAATTGACCGTAAGTAACGCCTGGTTTCAGTAGCCCATGTTGTAGCTAACGAGTGATGCCTTGTTTTTGACTAATCTTTTCCCCCTTGCCAGCACAGGGGTTTGGTCCGTCAATCCCAGTATCCTAGTGCTCAAATAGCCCTTAGATTCTCTGCCAAGGCAGTATGAATTGCTGGGGCATAATCCAGCTCTTGAATGATGCTGTAACAAGAGCACTGGTCTGAAACAGTGGGCCTCTCACCTGATCTGTAGCATTTTCCCCCTGTCTAAATGGCCCTCACACTGGTAAGAGGAGACTTTCTCTGCTCTACATAGCAGTCAGATCTAGCTGCAGGATGTCTCTGCCTGAATGGGCTGCAGCTGCTCAGCAAAGAGCTGATGTCTGGACAGACAGTGTTTCCCACAGACAGGGAGGGGGCGAAATCACCTGTTAACTGATGTAACCTTTTAATAATGTACATACCTGAGCATGCCTTTAAACCTTGCTGCGGGAGGCTTAATGACTTTAAGCAGGTGATCCCATCCAATCCCTTAGCTGGAAGGTGGGGGGAGCCTCTGATGAAACACCTCAGCCTCCCTGCTGTAAGGGGTTGTCTCATATACAAATGATGTGCAAAAACCCAGAGACTGGATAATGGCTCTCATGTGATGAATAGCTAGGTGCTTCCCACTTGTCCTGAGAATGTTCCTCGCTTGGGAACTGGCTCTTGTCCCCCTCCTTAACCTGGATTCTGGCTCTGTCCTGCAGCTGTTGAATATCCACCCAGCTTGCTATTGTTACCCCCCTTGGAAAATGGAGGCAGAAGCCATCAAGCTGGTTTTCCTTGAACCCCATTGGCCAGGCAGATACCAGGCTTGAGTAGCAGAGATCTCCACCCCTTTCCATCCCCCTCCCCTATCCATCTTCTATGGGAGTGAGCAGATTAGGCTTCTCCAGACATCTTCCTTTTGCAGTGCCACCCATCAGTGGCTAAGGGGTATGTTCATTTAAGTGGGCAGTGCTAGTTCCTCATTGCCTGTGGGTTCCCTGTGACTGCTAGCGAAGCCCTTAAGGCTACTAGTTGCACCCCAGGGTGCAGTCCTGCCTGTGGTGGATATCAGTAAAGAAATATTTGGAGCTGGCTAGTGCCAGTGCTGGAAGCCCTACTGAAGTGCGAGTGACTTGGTGACCATCCTGGCACCAGGTTGGCAGGAAGAAGTGCGAGTGACTTGGTGACCATCCTGGCAGCATGTTGGCAGGACCCTGCCTCTGGGTATCCCGTGGATCTGGGACTGGTGGTTGCTGTTGGCATGGGGGGAGACAATAGCACAGCTGCTGTCTCACAGGTGAGATCAAATCGAGCCCCTCGGAGAGCCCACTGATGGATAAGAAGGACAGCTTGAAGGAAGACCCTGGGGAAACCAAGGTGACCCTGGGTGAAGCCAAGAGGCCCCTGGACTTTGCCTCAGTTGTGGAGGAGAGGACGGTCTCTTTCAATCTCGGTGACGCAGATGAAGTGCCAGAGCGCGAGAGGCCGGACCTGAAGGAAACCAATGTCGATAGTGGTGAGTCATGGCCCAGCAGGGTGAGGGGAAGGAGCCCTATTGCTCCCTTGGGTCTAGCCAGTCTTTTGTCTCTGCTGCAGGCACCGTGCAGCTACCCAGCGGTAACACAGTCCAGTTCAACCCAGTGGTCAGCAACCAAGTGAGCTGGAGTGGGCACTACCAGTACCACACGGTGCACAAGGACTCGGGGCTTTACAAGGAGCTGCTCCACAAGCTGCACCTGGCCAAGGTGGGCGACTGCATGGGTGACTCTGGGGACAAGCCGCTGCGACGCAACAACAGCTACACGTCCTACACCATGGCCATCTGCGGTATGCCTCTGGATGCCTTCCGTCCCAAGGAGGCCGAGCCGAGGGGTGAGGAGCTGGAGAAGCTGACATGGCCAGGTGGCGAGGCCAAGAAGCGGGCGCGCATGGACAGCTACACCAGCTACTGCAATGCTGTGGCTGATACCCACCCTGCTGCTGATGTGGAGGCTGCTGCGGAGCTGGGCCTTGGAGACCACCAGGGCAGCCATGGCTCCTTGGAGGAGTGGCAAGACCAGGACAAGCCTGAGGTCTCCCTGCTCTTCCAGTTCCTGCAGATTCTTACCGCCTGCTTTGGCTCCTTTGCGCATGGGGGCAATGACGTCAGGTCCGTTATCTGGCTCGGTGTTGGGCTGCGGGGGAACATGCAAGGGCTCTTGCTTTTGATCAGATCCGGTCTTCAGCTTGAATTGGAGCTTAGGAGCAACATTCACTGGTAGAGTAGGGAGGCAGTGGAAGAGATGCCTAGGGGAATTGTGCACTCTCCATCGCTGGAGGTGTTCAAGGAGAAGTTGGACAGCCACTGGGCAGGGATGATCTAGTCTTAGCGATGTCTGTGCTCTGGGGATATCCCAGACTTTGATTGCCACATGAGGCTAGGAGAGAATTAACTATTCCAGCTTGCTGCTACATGGGTTGGAGTTTTTAAGCCTCCCTCAGAGGCACTGGGTGTTGGCTGCAGCCCAGGCTGGGGATGGTAATGGCTGTGCCAATGCTCCTGCTGGGACCAAACCTGCAGGGTCGTAGCTAGAGGGTCTTGCCCCCTCCATTCGGGTTCATGTTGACGTTGCGTTGAGGTCTGGAAGGAATTCCCCCCCCCCCCCCATGTCAGATTGGTATGCACTGGGGGAGTTTGCTTTCCTCTGTAGCAGGGACATGGCTTCTGTGTGGGATCTCTCAAGATCCCAGGCAGCCTTTACAGCAGCAGGATGCTGGCTGTCATGGCCCCCTACTTTCCCTGTGGCAGGGTCTGGTGTGATGTCTGGTGTTGCTGGAGCTGGCTGTCATTTTTATTAGGAGTTTAGACTATGGGCTTGTCTGGGTCGGTTTGAACAGGGCTGATCCTACCTTGGGCAAGGGACTGGACTCAATGTGACCTGTTAAGGTTCCTTCCAGCCCCATGTCTCTAGGATTTCAGTCTGTTTTTAGCTCAAAAGGACCAGTGACCGCTCCCAGTCAAGCTGTCCTCTCTCTCTCTTCCTTACCTTGCAGCAATGCGATTGGTCCCCTGGTGGCCCTGTACCTCGTTTACCAAACAGGCGATGTGGCCTCCAAAGCGGCCACCCCCATCTGGCTGCTGCTTTATGGAGGCGCTGGCATATGCATTGGCCTCTGGGTCTGGGGCAGGAGGGTCATCCAGACCATGGGCAAGGACCTGACGCCCATCACGCCCTCAAGGTAAGACCCGGGGGGGCACGCTGGGGTCTTCTGCTGCCCCTTGGCTGGTGTAAGAGTCTCTGCTGACCCCAGCCCCTTCCCAGGGCAAATCATGACTGAGGCTGGGGCACAAAGCCTGCCCAGCCCCCATGGCAGACAGGAGGCTGATTTGCAGTTGTTCATTCACCTGAAGCAGGAGACAGGAAGGGCTAATTATAGATCTCAGTAGCTTTGATCTGGCTTCCAGCTGGGCCTCAAAGAGGTGCTTTCTTCATGGGTTGTCAAAATCTTGGAGATTCAGATCCGTGTGGGTTGCACATTGTTTCCAGGAAGTTGTGACCGGCTCTGTTTTCAATCCTGCAGTGGCTTCAGCATCGAGCTGGCTTCTGCCCTGACAGTGGTGATTGCTTCCAACATCGGCCTCCCCATCAGTACCACACACTGCAAAGTAAGTGCTCTGCTCGCAGCTCCCCCTGGCCTTGGCCCTGTGCTGTTAGCTTCCCTCTGGAAGCAAAGCTGGGTGCTGACTTCCAGCTTGGCAAGCCTGAAAGCTGCCTTTGAATGACCTCTCTAGTGTGGGGGAAGAGAGAAGGAAGCAGAGGCTACAGAAACAGCCTGGAAGGGGGGCATCGGGATCCAAACAAACCAGCTTCTCTGACAGCTCCTTTATGGAGCTGCCAAACTCTGGAGACTTAGGCCATGGGAACCTTCACCCCTCCATGAGCCCAGCCCTTGCCAGGGCCTGGAGGAGAACAAACAGAGCTTGTTGACCATGGTGGAGCTGGAAACACTGAGCCCAGCGGGGGTGTTTCCAGACCTGGGGGAGGAGCTATAAAGGACAGTGGTGAAGCTAGATGCAGCCTGTTTTTTTCCAGTATGGGCTGGCTGCGTCTATCCAGGGGGGCTGTTTCTGGCAGCTAAAGGGGTCTTGGAGGATCTAGCAGGGTAGCCATGGACACCGCTTGGGCAACAGCTGGCTGATGTTTAGCAGGGGCAAAGGGGGACTCGGGATCACTGCAGCTTGGCTGCTCAGCTGGGTGTCTCTCACACCTGTCTCTTCCCCCTAGGTGGGCTCCGTGGTGTCAGTGGGCTGGCTGCGCTCCCGCAAGTCAGTGGACTGGCGTCTCTTCCGCAACATCTTCATGGCCTGGTTTGTCACTGTGCCCATCTCGGGCCTCATTAGTGCAGCCATCATGGCCCTCTTCAAGTACCCCATCCTGGGAGTCTGAGACACATCAGAGGCATGAGCTGCTTCGTCACCCCTGCTTTGTTGGGGTGATGCTGGGCTGGGGGGCCCCTATCCATGCTGTAACCCCTTTATGCTAATGTGCCCCCCTTAGCTGTAACATAGGCAGGGCCTGACTTTCCCCTCTGTACTGCGTGTTCCCATCTGTGTCATACTTCTCCCTGCCCCAGTCCCTGATGTCATCCTTGCTTGTTAATTTTTAATTGTCCCCTCCCCCCCTACCAGGAGGAGGGGGAGGGGGGTTGTCTCAGTGCCATCTGTAGCTCTAGCCAAGCCAGAACAAGGGGTCTGTAGATCCCAGGGGACACTTTTTTTTTTTTTTCTTTCAATAAATCTTTTTTAGCCTTTACCTGTTGGAGCAGGTGTCAGTCCTAGCCTCCATCCCTTCCCCCTTCACATGCACCTCCAAGCCAACTTCTCCCTGCCACCCCCCTCACCAGCTCTGCAGAGGCCAGGCTCATGCCCAGGTCCTGAGGGACTATTTCTGACTTCTACAGGTTCTGGTGCCCCCTGATCTAGGCTTTGGGGTCTGGAGAGCATGTGGCACCCCCCCCATCTTGGTTGGGGAAGGGGGGGCAGTGTTTAACAGGCACCTGGTACCCCCCTGATCTCAGCCTGGGGGGGTCTGGCCACAACCTGGTGCCCCCAATGTCATCAGGGGTGTGTGTCCCATTGCTGCTGCCCATGTCAGAAGCTGTGCGACTGTCCCTCTTCCATCACACGTGTGCCAGGACCCCGGCCTGTGCCCACACACTACAGCTGCCCTCCTCACCATTGCTACCTCTAACTCAATAAAGACAGCATCATTTTTTATATAAGACTCATTGGCTTTTGGGCTGTTGCCTCTATGTGGGGGGTCGGGGGTTGGTGTGCTGTTGCTTGAAAGAGGGAAGCTGAGGGGTGCAGGGTAAGGGGGTAGAAGCCCCATGGGCAACAAGGTGTGGGGGGGCAGTTTCTCCCCAGGGGAAAGCAGCTGCCTTCCTCTTGGCCCTACAAGCTGGGCAGGGGGCACAAGACCCTGGGCACCCATATTACAGCCCTGTTGGGGAAGGAGACTGGTACAGCAGGTACCTTTGTACCTTCCTGGGGGCATGGGGGGCTCTATCTGGCCTCCCCTCCCCCCAGCTGGAGGTGCCTGGGGCTGACGGGAACAGGCTGGGTCCTGGCTCCTGGTGCCCCCTGCCCCCCTCCTTCCCCCCCCCTGCAGTCCAGGTGGCACCAGAGATCTTGCTGCTTCCCACCTTGCTGGCAGCTGCTATAATTAGACTATGGCACTAATTGCATTGGCTGCTGTTGGGAGTTGTCCTTGCCCGCCCCCCGGAAGGCTGGGGGGGCGGGGAGCGGGGGTTAGGACACCAGGTTCTCAGCCTGGGGGGTCTATGCTATCCCTGGTGTCCCCCAGTCTTGGCTGGGGGGGGCCTGTGCAGTGCCTAGTGCCCCCCAGTTGCAACCTGGTGGGTCTGAGCTGGTGCCAGGGGCTGAATGAGTTCCCACTGCACTGCTCTGGGCCTGGCAGGGCCTGGGCAATGTGTGGTGCTTGGGGCTATGCCTTGACATGGCTGCTGCAGGCCCTGGCCCTGTGCCCACCTTCATGCCTGGGGCTGGCACGGAGCAGGGGGCCTTGCCCTGCCCAGAGGGCACACCTGGGTCTGGGGCTGCTGCCGGGTGTCCAGAGGTGGTGGGGGCTGTGCCCTCCTGGCCTGGCAGGTGGGGTGGGCTATGGATAGAGACAGAACAGCCATCCCTCTGTCTGTCTCTGCATCTATCCGTTTGTGTACTTGCGACTGCCGTCTGTACTGAACCTGCCTCCATGGGTCTGTCCCTCCATTCTTCTCCTCTGTGTGTCTCCGTTCATTCATATTGATCTCTGTCCATCTGTTCATCCATCCATCTGCCTACGTGGCTTGTCCTACCTCTGTGTTGAATGATTCATCCATCTGTTGGTCTTGCTCTTATCTCTCCAGCTCTATTGATCTGTCTGTCTGTCCATCCAGCTGTTCCTGTCTGTTGCCATCCATTCATCCCTCTGTCTGTCTTTATCGGTCCGTCCATCCATCCGTCTGCCTTTCTGTCCACTTATTGCTCCGTCCCTCTTGTGTCTGTCTGTCTCTAGCCACCTGTATTGATCCGTCTATCCATCTGTCTGTTGCATCCATCCATTCCTCCCTGTCCCTCCCTCTTGATTTCTCCACGTCTATGGATCCATCTGTGTGTCTGCCTATGGCTCACTCCATCTCCCTCCACCCAGTGATATAGATCTATCCATCCATTTCCCTGTTCTTCTGTCCATCTATATTGATCCATACTGAGGCCTAGGCCCTGGGAAAACTGAGGCATAGCACTGGTGCCCAGGCACAGGGGCAACTGAGGCATGCCTCCACCTCACACAGACCCAGTCCACAAGGAAACTGAGGCACAGCCCCACACCTCGGTGCTGAGTCCTAGGCACTGAGGAAACGTCCCTGCCCCCTCCTTCCTACACACACTGAAGCCTAGTCCTGGGGGAAACTGAGACACGGGAGCATCTGATCTCCCTGACCCTGGCATTGCAGCCTTCTGGAGCAGAGCAGAGGCTGGGAGCTCCGATGCCTGGGTTTTTCGTTGGGGGGAGGGTGGGGGGAAGGGGTCGGTGTCCTGGGGGCCCAAGTCTGCAGGCAGGACAGACAGAGGTCAGGGATTGGGGAGGAGGTCTGTTGCAAGAGGGGCTGGGGATTGCATAGGGGGTGGGGCCAGGCTCAGGTTCTCTGGAAGGGCAGTGGGGTGTGGTGGTTAAAGCAGGAGGTGG